GAGTTATATTGTTATATTATACCTCAAATTCAAAATGTCCAATGAAAAAACAGCATTTGTACCACGTAATAATGTGATTTTTTACGGTATTTCACTCAAATTCATGATTTCGCAATGCAGCGTGAGATACTATAATATCCCACGGAAGATCCACCGTGGGATATTATAGTGTCCCACGCTCACGCGTGACGCGTGGACACCACGCTCTGAAACAATATGGCGTTCGCGAGCTGTTGTTTGTAATTTCGTTATTTTCGTACAGAAGATTTGATTTAAACAAAGATTTTCAAGACGTATGTTACCTTTAATGATCCAAAGGATACATGCTCAAATATTTTAAAGAGGAAACGTCAAAAACTACGACTGAACTTAGTGAGTTCTTTAACTTTCGGTATAATATATCATTTATAGACCATCCGCTCGGGGGATTCGGCGATATTTCCCTCAGTGATGATATTTTCTTCGGGGCAAAGCCCCTCGGAAAATATCATCACTTCGGGAAATATTACGCCGAATCCCCCTCGTTCGGGGTCTATAAATGATAAATATGAATTTCCAAACCGTCTATTCTATTAACTATGATTAACCGTCTAAAACAACTCGCGCTACGCGCTCGTATTTTTAAACCTAATAAAACACTCCTGCATGGTCGTGTTTATTAATTATGTACTTTCAATTATCTCTTTGAACCTTAGCCTACCGCGTTTTTGTTTGCCATTTACGAACAACTTATGCACCGGGAGTCTCTTAAAAGTGCATGGCTCGTGAGTTTAAATAAAACCATTTTATAACGGCCGTCTAACAGTCGCGATTTCCAAGGAATGAAGGAAATCACACACGAAGTTTTCATGCACAATTACAGGAGGAGGAAACAAGCTAGACTTTTAAAAGCTCAAAACTTTAGATATTTTCAAATTGTATACATGCACTATCAGTTGAGGAATTGCTGGTGTTTACAAGAGATAATAAGGTGTAATACCGATAAAAATAACACTGGCGCACCAGTTATTCACAAGTAAAGACAATGTTTTGACATCGTAAGGACAGAAGTTTACAAAAATATCACATGAAAAACCATTTTATAGCATTGGTTTTATAAGGGTGGTATTGTATGTAGTGTTTCTCTCTTCGAAACTGCCAGTGATCAAAATTCAGCAATGAAGACTACTGCACGGATATTAATTGCAGTCATCGTCATTCTCCAGCATCGTTCGCCTGTCGCCAAGGGAAATAACAAATTCCTTTCCTCCCAACAAAAAGATAAAAGCAGTGCTACTTTGCAAATAAATATGAACAATAACTTCATTTACCAATTTGCACAAGACCGAAAGAGGACACTCTTACATGGATATACCCCTTGGGCAATTCCAGAGCAGGATCGCAAACATAAACTGGAAAAACGGGAACCTACTAAAACTACGTCTACGGAAATTCGAAATAAAACCACGTACAGAAAACTACAGAACACAAACAAAAGTCTACAAACAACGCCCAGAAGTTCACAAAACACGCAAAGAATTTTTCTTAAGAACGAGGCATTCTTCAATAAGTTCGATAAACCAATACAAAACAAATTCAATAAAAGCAACAAGAAAAGCAAACGTGTCGCTAAATCCATAGACTACGATGCTGTTACGCCTGAGTCAAGGATACCTAGAAAGGTTACATTCGGGAGTTCGCCGACGTTGAGTGAGTCGAAATTTCTAAACAATCTATCTTCAAAAATCTCTTTGAGGCACCATTCGTTCTTTCATCATATATTTAAACCTCGTGAAATGAACGACAATTACGCTAATTCAAACTGTGTCGGACTGCAAACTAAAACGACTTTCCTTCTACCAACAATCCTAAACGTACTTTGCAAAGCTTTACTTGTTCATCCGTTTACAACGTGGAAGCTGAAACACAAATTTAGCTCAATGAAAGATATACGTGTTCATGAGAACGTGTTACACGAAGTTATTCATAATCCATGGAATGAGAGACTAAAACATAAGTTATATAAAGTTTTACAAGGCGAAGACGTGTATTTGGACGTGTTCGGGGGCTCAAACACCGCCGGTGCTGGACTAAGAAAAGATGAGGGAGATCTCGAAGGAAGGTACTCTCTGGTTATCACACACTGGTGGAATAAAACAATCACACCTATCACAGGATCCAACCTTAAACTTCGACAGATCGCAATGGGGGGCACTTCAAGCGAATTTTTTCAATTTTGTTTTGCTTCGTACATACATGAAAAACCCGACCTAGTCTTTATAGAAATGGCAGTCAATGATATGAGGGATCTTCCCTCCAATGCTAACAAAAGTCTACCGCTAGAACAGCTGACTCGGCAACTTTTGGTGTATCCAAAGGAACCGGCTTTGGTTTATATTAATTTATTCAACTGCCCGTATTGCAATTATAGTTGTACCAATATTGAAGATTACGGGCAAGACCTCTTAACTGATACCTACAATATCACATCACTAAAGTGGCGCAATGCTGTTTGTTCGAAAAATGCTAGAAATAATCTAAAAAATCCTTGCGATTTGATTTGTTCAGATGGAATGCATATTAATCTGCTTGGCCATGCGCATATTTCGTTGATGCTTATTAATCTATTTCGAAGGATTCTACTGGATCATATCTCCACCGTGATCACGAATTCGGGTGTATCCCACCGGAAAAAATCTACACGTGTGGCCCGCGAGAATAAATCCACGCGTGTAACCAGCGGGATCACGCTTTCTATGAGTGATCAACTCCCACCTCGGATTTTGCGCAAACAAATTGCTCTTCCTCGCCCTGTTCTAATAAAGAAAACCACCAAAATTATTTCTGAACCGCTTTGCTGGACAAACCTATCGCCAAATTATCATCGTATAAATGATGTAAAAAATAATTTAGATGTGATTATAACAAAAACAAAAGGCTTTTTTTTGGAAACTGCGAAAATTGGGGAGAAATGCAGTAAGCCGCCTTGTCGTGTTGATTCGGTCAGCAGCTGGACTGGTAAAACGATAGGCGCAAATATAACATTCTCTTTCACAGTCCCTGAAGAGAATTATCCTCTGTCGGCGGAGGGAATCCAAACTCGGTCGGTAGCAATTGGCATACGGACATGCTGGAACTGTGGTGTCGCAGATATGTGGTTGGATAGTGACTATAAAAGCAAGAAAATTTTCAGCACGAAACTTCATTATGGACGAACATGCGCCAAAATATTAGCTTTGCATGTGGAACCTGGGAATCATACTTTAAACGTAGAAATTGTCCGGCAGGGAAAAGTCTCCATTGTTGCTATAATGGTGGGACCCTCTGATGGACCATATTAGTAATGTGTGTGTGTTGGGGG